ACACACACACACACACACACAGTCTCCAAGCTGTAAACAAGATTTGAGGTGGCATGGCTTTCTAGCTCCTGTGTCTGATTCCTGGGATTCATCATCTTCCTCCCTGAGCCCATATGCATACACACACACACACACACACACTCACACACACACACACACACACATTACAGACACATACTCAGTGACTGGACATATCCAGAAATACAGAGATGCATTACACACAGAGAGTTGCAGACACAGACCAACATATGCCACATTGTCAGTTGCCTGCTTATCTTGTGGAGATGAGCTGCTGCCCAGAATGAGGAGCTCTGGACACTTCTCCTTGCCTGGAAGTGTGGTGGTGGAGGGAAGGTGCTTGGGAGCAGGATCCCCTGGGAGAGGTGATGAGTGGATAGGAGTTCCATTCTGGCTGTTGTGATGGTGCCTCCCCATTCACTATGGGTCTCTGTGCTTGAAACAGGCAAGCACTCACCATTCCCCTCACTGGGGCCCAGCTCTGCCATTGGTAAAGTGCGAGGTTGATCTGGATGGTCTTTGCAGGCCCTGGAAGCTCTGGCTTCCAGCACAGCTGAGAGGCCCCAGTGACACAAGACTTTGAAGGCTTCTTTGAGCAACCACAGACCTGTGTTGGTTAGACCAAGCCTTTCTAACAATCCAGGCAGAGATGTTCCCTTCCGGTCCTTCCTGATGCCCTCGGACTTCCTCACCAGGCTCCTCAGGCCACAGTCCCCAGCAGGGGTTATACAGGTGGCCAGACTGGGATCTCTAACCTCAATCTAGGCCTCTGCCTCTACCCTAAGCAACTCAGCTGCCAGGAGCCAGCCAGAGGAGTGGAGAGAGGGGACTCTAGACTGGCAGGAGTGAAACTGCCCTTCCTGTCTGTATCCTTCCCTCCAAGGCTCTGGAACTAGCTCCACTTTCCTCTCCAGCCTGAGGGACTTCAGCATCTTTTGCCCAACCACCCAACCCCTCTGCCCTCTCAGTTTCTTGACTCCTCATCTCCAATCCTCAATTCCTTCATTCCACCTCAGCTACACTTCCCCATACCCCATCGCCTTCAAGACCTTATCACCCTTGTCATCACCCTGCACCATCCACCTCTGAGAAACCCAGACAACCTACTCTTGACTGTAACCCCACTGCTGTCTCCATACAAACACGTATAGCACAAACGCTGTTCTAAGCCCTTTATGTATACTAACTCATTTAAGTGCCATGACAACAACTTAGGTAGCACTAGAGCCATCCCTAATTTATGGATGGGGAAACAGAGGCCTGAGACATTAGAATTGCCCAGGGTCACAGACATCATGGTAATACATGGCAGAGCTGCGATTCACACCTAGGCTGTGTGGCTCCTAAATCTGTGCCCTTCTTAACTCTACACTGCCTCTGGCTGTAACTAGTCCCTGATGTCATGCAATCCCTGGAACTCCACATTTTTCTCCACAGTCCTCTTGCTTCCACTTCTCTCTGCATCTATCCAAGAACCCACACTGACTTAGTTCTGTTACTCTCTTGCAACGTCACCTGTCCCTTTGTTCTGCCAAAGCTGCCAGCAAAGCCTCAATTGCAACAGTCTGGCTTTCTGCCACCTCAAGTCTATGCCTAAACTGCTAAGCCTTGTAGGTGATAAATCCACAGCTGGGCGGCATGGGCCCTTTGTACCTCCACATCCCAGAACGCATCACTCTGGTCCTCAAGGATCCTGGCAAAAACCTCCTTGGGCAGGTCTCTGTCGAGCCACCCACGCGCCTCTGCTCCACAGGATGGGGTTTGTTAAAGTTCTTAAGAATAAGGTCTACTTTAAGAGATACCAAGTGAAATTTAGAGGACGACGAGAGGGTAAAACTGATTACTATGCTCGGAAACGCTTGGTGATACAGGATAAAAAAATACAACACACCCAAACACAGGATGATAGTTCATGTAACAAACAGAGATATCATTTGTCAGATTGCTTATGCCCGTATAGAGGGGGATATGATAGTCTGCGCAGCATATGCACACGAACTGCCAAAATATGGTGTGAAGGTTGGCCTGACAGATTACGCTGCAGGGTATTGTACTGGCCTGCTGCTGGCCCGCAGGCTTCTCAGTAGGTTTGGCATGGACAAGATCTGTGAAGGCCAAGTGGAGGTGACTGTGATGAATACAATGTGGAAAGCATTGATGGTCAGCCAGGTGCCTTTACCTGCTATTTGGATGCAGGCCTTGCCAGAGCTACCACTGGCAATAAAGTTTTTGGTGCCCTGAAGGGAGCTGTGGATGGAGGCTTGTCTACCCCTCATAGTACCAAGCGATTCCCTGGTTATGATTCTGAAAGCAAGGAATTTAATGCAGAAGTACACCCGAAGCACATCATGGGCCAGAATGTTGCAGATTACATGCGCTGCCTTAATTCTGCTCTTGTGGGGCTGACCTCACCAGGTGTGTGAGTGTGCTGCTCTCTGTTCCTGAGCCATGAGCCTACTTTCTCTTCCCCTGGCAGACCCAGCTCTACCTTCAGAGTGCAGCTGGGATGCTGCTTCCTTCCTTCAGATTTCTGCAACTCTGCAAATCAGGGCTCCTAAACTCCTGATGCCCAGATTTTCTGGCTGGGGCTGTGGGCTATGTGGATGAAGGTGAAATTGAGGGAACTGTATCCCAGGGAAAGAGTATGTTTCCAGGAGAGAGGATTCAGTAGGTCCCAAGCTCTGGAGAGGTCAAGTTAGCTAAGGGTTGAACAGTGCTCATGGAATTCAGCAAAAAGGAGTCAGCTGGTGGCCTTGGTGAAAGCAGATTCTCAGGAGTCGTGGTGCCATGACTCCTGTATCCAGGTCTGCAGGCCCCAGCCATCTTCCTTGAGGGCCAAGATCATGTCCACCTTGTTTGTTGCAATATCCCCAATGTGGGTGCCTGCTTCTCCCCAGGTGCCCAGTGAATATTGATTAAATACATGGTGGGGGGGCATTGGTCAGAGGGGCCTGTTTTCTGCCCTCCTGGCTTCCCCTGTCTCTTGGATTTGAAGTTGCTCGATGCTGTCTTCTCTCAGATCCCCTCCTCACTTAGGGCTTTGGGGAGGATATGGAGGGGAAAGGTGAGATTCTGGGGCAGAGTCCTACCCAGTTCAGAGCAGGGTGCCGTCAGAGCGGAGTGGAGGAAGCCCCCCCCCAGCCTCCAGTGCCTGCGGAGTGCCTCACCTTCTCCTGTCTCCCCTTCTCCTGTGTCCCTCTCTGTCTTTTTCACCCCTGTCCTCTCACCGCTACAGGTTCTCGACCAACCGCTTGTCTGGGCACTACTCCTGGCCCCTGGAGCTCAGTCTGGATGGGGTCTCTCCCCCTTTCCAGTAAGCGTCCCTTCCCAGCCCCCTCCCGCCAGTCTTCCCCAACTCCTTCACTTGCCTGAGCGGGTCCGTGGACATTCTGTGGGTCCGACCTGGCTGACCCCTGAGCACCCTGGGTGAGCAGAAAGGAAGGAACCGGGAGCGCAGGGCAGCTAGGAGAGAGGTCGGGTCACCCCCTCCGCTGTTTGCTGACTTCGAAGGGCTGGGCTGGTGCAAAGCGCGGGGGTTGGAGGTGGGGTCGCCCTCTCCCACGTGGCCGGGTTTCCGGGCGGGGTCCTGGGACTAGCCGCTTGGAGATCCTAGATCAGCAGGTGGTTGGGAGAGAGCGCCCGGCCCTGTGCACAGGGCAGAGACGCGCAGACCCGCTCGTACTCGGCTGCGCTCCCCTGGAGCAGCCCCTGCTGCGGCGGCATTGGGTGGGGAGGGGCTGGCGCGCTGGCCTGAGCGGGTCCCCAGCCGCCTCCCGCCACCCGGAGCCCCTCTCCTCCAAGCGTTGGCTGCCAACCCTCAGCTCCCCTTCTACCCGGGGCGAGCGGCGTTCTCACCATCCACCTCCCCTCTCCGCTCCGCTCTGTCTTTCTCCCCTTCTCCTCTAAGCTTCGCGGTCTGCAAGCACCCTTGCAAATAACTCCTAGCCCACCCACACCGTCTCGTCCGCAGTTTCCGAGAGCCGGGCTTGGCTATATTGCAACTCACTTTAGGACAGGGGAAGTCGAACTGGCTCTGCCTTCAGCTTCAAAGTGATTCTCCACCTTTCTGGAGGGGAGCTGGAGCTGTGGGGTGGGGGGATTTTTCCAGGGATGGACTTGTTTTCAGCACCTCTTCCTCAATCAACCACCAATCCTGCACCCTAGAAAGGGGTGTGGCCACGAGCCTGTCTAGTGTGTGACTCTATCTCCTGGTGGACTGTGTAGGAGCTTTTTGGGATGAGGGCTGGGGATGGAGTGCTCGCAGCAGGCCCACCTCCAGGCTGGGCTGTGTGGGAGGGAGGACTGAGGTGCTGACTTTTCAAACCCTGGAGGAGTTCAGCTGAAAGAGCATCTCTCCAACCTCTGCCTTCATTCACTCATCCATTCATAAATCCTAGCTGATGTGAAGTGTGGCAGGCAGCCTTCATGCGACAGCGGCCTTGTGGGGGAGGGCTACCACTGTCCTCCATTTGCACCTGAGGAAAGCCAGGCGTAAGGCCCCACAGTCTCTTGCCCTAGCCCCTGGGGGGCAGAACCAGGATGTGAGTCTTATCTCCAGACTCCAGCCCCAGCCTGGGCCGCTGTCCTCCAGGTTGGCCTGGCAGGGATGTGACTTCAGGGAAGCTGCTTGGACCAAGCACTCCCTACCTTTTGGTCACTTATGTGTTCTCAGCACCCAGCCCAGGTGGTCACAGTCACAGTCCTGGTGTGAGAATGGCTATTGGAAAGAACCAATTTCATTTCTTGAACAGACCACTGGAAGAGCTTGGTTCAAGGACCTGTACCTGTCCACACCCCATCCCATGCTGAAATATCGGAGGGTTATACCTCTCCCTAATACCCCTACCATACCACCCATGCCAGCGGGGCCTGACCCTACCTTTTCTCAAAGTGTGACGGGGAGAAGCCACATGCCTCCACATTGACCACTTCTGTGACCACGGGGGAGGGAGTGGGGAGATGAGGGTGGGGGTGCACTTGAGGAAGATGTACTGGGACATTCACTTGGGCTGGAGGGAAGATATTTCAGGAAGCCCATGGCAGGGAAAAGAGAGGAACTAGAAGCCCAGGCTCAAGAATTCCTATCCAGTTTAAGGGTCCTTTGACGCCTCACACGGTTCTTCCCCAGTGGACGTAGCTCTTGCCGTTTATTTCACCTGGTCCCCAGCACCTCTCTGAGCCTGGCCTGTCCAAGCATCAGGGATTCCACAGCCCCACCCTGGGGAGAGTGTGGTTGAGAGGGGTTGATGGGCAGGGTATAGGGCACTGCCCTTCCCGCAGCTCAGGCTCCACAGCCCCCACTCCCACCCCCTCCACTCTGGGCATCTCTGGGGCACTGAGGTGAGGATCGAAGGCATATAGGAGAAAGGGTCTCCTCATTGACTGAGGAGAGACCAGCAGCCTGAGTTATTGTTGATGATGATGGTGAAGGAAAGGAGAAGGGGCAGAGAATATTTAGGAGCCGGTGGAGACGAGGGGAATTCAAGGAGAGGAGGTTGCTTCTCCCAGCTGAAGGAACTGAAGTCTCTGCACCTGGCCAGCATTTCCCTTCATGGAGGTCTGTCATGCTGTGGTCAGGGAGCTGATCCCTGTCGCCTGCGCAGAGCACAGCAAAGATAGAGCCTTAGATAGGGAGAGATGGGAGACCTGGCTGCATGCCTGGCCCTGTGACTTTTCACCATGGGACTCAATGAGTCCTTTTTCCAGTGGGGCCTCAGCTTTTCCATCTGAGATGGACTCTGCTGCTTTGGAAGACTTTGGTTTCCCAACATCCACGGGGGTGCCTTCTGGGTGCCTGGCCCTCTCTCTGCTCCCATTCTCAAGAGGGGCAATAGACCAGGACCTCTCAGAGTGATTGGGCTGTGATGGAGAGAAACCCTGGGCCTGGGAAGCACAGGGAAGTCAGGGGGGCTTCCAGGAGGAAGTGCCGTCTCCACTGATCCTAGAAGGACACTATTTCTAGCTTGTCTTTTGCTCACTAAACTAGGCGAGAGGCCATGTGGAGAGGGTATCTCTGTAGAGGTCAAACAACTCTACCTGGAGGCTGCGGGTGTGGAGGAGGAGCAATGTTTTCTATGTGGCCACACCTGGGTCTCCTCGCTCCAAACCTTGCTCTATCTACGGGAGATGGGACTTTGATGTGGCTTCCCAGGGAAAGCCTAGGGAATTGTTTTTACATTAAATTGAAGCCATTAACATTTATAAAGCACCTACTGGTCTGGTGCTAGGCACTAGAGCAGGGGCAACGTTCACAAGACTTAAGATGGCTTAATAATTGTTTTGTGAAAAGGAAGACTTCAACCCTGCCTGAAGGGTGGCAAGAGAGGCTGGCGGAAGAGAATGAGGAGAGCATGTGGGTAGGAGATTTTCTGAACTGGGCCTTTAATGGTGGGGAGTTTGATAGGCAGAGAGAAGCAGGGAGGGCCCTGGGGAACACAGGGCAAGGCTTGGAGACAGGAATGTGTTTCGCTTGCTTGTTCAAGGAGCAGCAAGAAAATGGGGGGAAGAGAGAAGTCAGATCAAGAAAAGTCTTGAGTGGTGGAGTTAGACACCAGGGGTCTCGGGCTGGGCTCAGCTGAGAAGTAGCCTCCTCTGACCCCCAGGGGGCAGGTTGTTTGTGCCTGTCCCTTTGTGAGCCTCTCTTCTCCAGTGACCAGGAACCCCCTCAAACTCCCCCATCTGATTCACTGCTGCTCAGAGCCTGTCCCTGAGGAGCTGCCAGAAGTTTTGATATTGGGAAAAGAATCTTGTCTAGCCCCTCTATTGGGCTTGTGAGCTCTAGAGCCCCAGGGCCAGGCCATGGGAGGGAGAGTCCCTGTCAGTGGTTCTTGTGAGCCTGTGGTTCACTTCTGTGGCCAGGTTAGAGCAAGGGACTGGGGCGTCCTGGTCATAGTCAGGGTCTTGGATGCCAAATTTCAGAGACCAGTCAGTAGATTGAACAGGGAACAAAGCTGAGCTGCAATCCAGAAAGAAAGGCAGGGCAGGAGCCTGAAACAAGGAACCCTGTCGGGGTGTCTGGTAACACTTTGCTCTGGGCCTCAGCCCACGCCAGTGGAATCCATTTCTGAGAGCCTTGGCTAGGTGAGTGCAAAAGGTCCCCTTCCACACTGTTCCCAGCTGCTCTGGGGTATGCAGGGCCTGGCTCATGCACGGTTTGGGTCTTCTACCCCCAGAGGGCACGGAGATGGGGGCAGCAGGTGAGACGGGCAGGCTGGGCAGGGCAGCCTCTCAGCCTTTGCCTCAGCATTCCTCAGCCCCTCAGGCCCCTGGTTTCAGCTTCTCCAGGGTCCTGCTCACGGTGGACAGGCTGCTGCGGGCTCCTGGGGGAGAGAGCAGGGATGAGGGCGGCCTCAGTGGACAGGTCCCCATGGAGTTTTCAGGGTCAGAGGATCTCAAAGGGACCCAAGGCCTGGGTGCTCAGTGACCCCAGGGCAGAGCTGGGAGAGAATGGGGAGAGGGGAGCATCCCAGGAGACAGTTTCAGCCCAGTTTAAAGCGACCCTGGGGTCAGGATGGCTTTCAGGAGGACAGCAGCATGGGCTGGGGGTAGAGGCAGGACCTCGAACCCACTGCCCAGCTTGAGCTGTGGCTGCAGCACTTCCTGGCTGTGTGTCATTTAATCTCCTTGTGCCTCTGTTGCCCCATATGTAAAATGAAACTAATGGTAGTACCACCCTTATGTGGCTGTCGTGAGACTTAAAAGAGTTACTAATATATGCACAGCGCTTGGAATGGTGTCTGGAATGGGCCTTTTGCTGAGGATTAGGCGTCCTTCCACTGGTGGCGGAGACTCTGCTGGATCCCTCTTTGAGAAACTCCTGCCCTGGAATTTTTCAGGTGTGGGGCAGAGGAACAAGGAGATGCCCAGTTTGGGGTATGAGCTTTAAACTGGGCTGGTTAAAGCTACTACCCAAAGCCGCTACCCCTGGGTGCCTCTTTAAACTGGGCTGAAACTATCCCCTGGCATGCCCCCTTCTCCCCAGCTATCCCAGCTCTGCCCTGGGGTCACTGAGCACCCCAGCCTTGGGTCCCTTTGAGTTCCTCTGAGCCTGGGGGAGACAGATGGGAGAGGGGAGTGGGAAAATAAATAGAGGCACGGGACCTGGGGGAGGAAAAGGGGAGGGAGGGGAAGGGGCAGGGAGGTGCCTTCATCTCAGTGTTCATGCTGGGGCAGACAGCAGCCCTCAGAACAAGCAAGAGGAGATGAGTTCAGCTCAGAGCAGCAAGGGTCTGGCTGCACATGTGGAGGAGCTGCCCAGCAGTACTGGCTTCCTGTGCTGGGGAAGCCCCTTTGCCGTGCCTCCCAAGGCTCCTGGGTCTCACAGAGCTGCTCAGTCAGGGAGAGGAGATGAAAGATGGACTCGGGAGTTTCTGGAAATTACCTTCCTTGTTGCCGTTGGTGCTGGATCTTCCTTCCCCATGGTCTGGCCTCGGATGGGGATGGATTCTTAGGCTCCCTGCAGGATGAGACCGCCCCAAGCCCCCTGGTTACTGACCCATTCCCCAAACCAAGCATAGGTTGGGAAGGGAAGTCCTTCTTGCCGTCTAGTCTCCATCCCTGATGCTGTCTTTGCTCCATTGCTTTCCTTTAGTTCTCACATGATCTGGGCTGATTTGGGCAGGGGCAGAAGAACTGGGCCCTTGAAGGAGAAAATGGCAGATCTTTTAGGGAGGTGAGTTCCCAGGGAGAACTGGGGACATGGAAAGCCTCACAGGCTTGGTGGAGATGGCGGCCTGTACGTGGGGAGCCGAGATGAGCTATGCAGAGGCTGTGGGGTCTTAGGGGAAATAGAGGGTTTTTTTGTGGGGGTTCAGAGATGAAGAGGGAGTTATTTAGAGATGTTGGAGGCTTTGGGGAGTTGTAAAATCTCTCAAGGGAGATGGACTTCCCAGCTCTGAGCTGGTTCAGGTACTTTTGCTGCAGGCAGTGGGCTGGATTCTGCTGCACTGTAATCATGGCAACGGCTGCACAAGACACACACAGCAGCTGTAACACACAGACAGCTAGAGCGTTCTCACACATGGGCTCAGCCCAGCCACACAGTGGGTCACAGACGGACACACGAAGGGTCTGGAACAGGCCCTGGCAGAGGGGTCTGTGGGGTTAGGGAGAGGCCTCACCCGTGGTAGGCAGGATGTGTTCCAGGTTGAACCGAGCCTTCAGGAAGGGGTAGGCCAAGAGGAGGAACCCTGAGAAGAGACACAGGGGTTCTGTGATGGGGAGGGCCTGGTGAATGGGTGGGCTGGGAGCCTAAGGGTGGATATGGGTGCATGGGAGGAGCACAAGTGTGCAGGCTTGGGACTGTGAGTGTGTAAATATGAGCCCATGGGTGTGTGCAGTGCCTGTCTAGGGAAGGGGCTATAGACTGGGAAGGCCTCAGCCACCTGGCTCTGCCGTGCAAAGGTGAAGAGCAGGTTGCTGGAATGAGCCTGGCTGACAACACCACAGCCTCTCTGCTGTCCCCACCCTCCCCCAGGGCCCCTAGAGTCGGACTGCGCACTCATCCTCGGCATGCTCCTCCCCACCCAGACCTGCCCTGCCCATCCCTACTCCATCCCCCGACGAGCATCTGTGCCAGAACCTGCAGGTGTAGGTGCCCAAAGCCCCCTATCCTGGTGCTTCTGCTCCTGCTTTTGGTCTGGGGGTGGGGTGTGGTGGGGCGAGGGATGACACTCAGCCTCACTGTAGGGCTATCAGTGGGCCTGGCCCACACAGATGGACACCGCTGCTGTGGAGGCAAACAGGGAAAGAAGAGGAAACCCTTTTTCTTTTCTTTTCTTTTTTTTTTTTTGAGATGGAGTTTCACTGTTGTTACCCAGACTGGAGTGCAATGGCACGATCTCGGCTCACTGCAACCTCCGCCTTTTGGGTTCAAGCAATTCTCCCGCCTCAGCCTCCCAAGTAGCTGGGACTACAGGTGCGCATCACCATGCCCAGCTAATTTTTCTGTATTTTTAGTAGAGATGGGGTTTCATCTTGTTGACCAGGATGGTCTCGATCTCTTGACCTAGTTATCCACCTGCCTCGGCCTCCCAAAGTGTTGGGATTACAGGCATGAGCCACTGCGCCCGGCCGGAAACCCTTTTTCTGAGCTGGAGCTTGTCTTGGCTCAGAGAGTCCTCAGGAACTCTGTCCTTTCACCTGCTGCCATCAACTCCTTGTTCTGCCCAGATAGGCTGATGAATCCCACCACAAATCTAAGAGCCTAGAACTTGGGGCTTGAGGTCCAGGGGCCATGGGCTTCTCAGAGATGGAGGCAGGAGGGAGGTGCTGAGTAGCCAGAAAGGAGTTCCACAGCCAGCTCCCCCTCTTGTCTCCTCCCCATGGCTGGATGGAGCCCCAGTGCGTTCCTCCTCTCCCTCCTGTGCCCCTGATGGCTGCCTTGCTCACACCGCTAGCTTCCATTCTCCCCAACCAATTCCTGCTGCCCCACCCCTTCCCTATTCCTTGTTCACCTGACCATGTCCCTGCTCCCCTTCCAGAATCTCCTCTCCCTATCCCAGCCCAGCCCCTACTCACCCAGACTAGCAGCACCAATAAAGACACCGCCCATGGCAGCTGCAGCCCTGGATACAGAGATGCCGATGATGACGCTGCCAGCCAGCAGGCTGAGAGCCACACAGGCCAGCTGCAGGCAGCGGAAGTCTCTGCTGCTGATAGGGATGTCCATGCAGGCCCACCAGGGCACTGCCTCCAGCCGGTGCAGCCTGGCTCCAGAAAAATCCTGGAAGTTTCTGGGCTCTTGGATGTCCTATGTTGGTGCTCCAACTTCAGGGTGGGAGTTTCTGGGCAGTAAGATTCCAGGCAGGGAACCCTGGGATTTATCTGCAGTCCTATCCCACTGCTCTACTAGGCAACCTCCCGTCCCACCTTGACCTGGGATCTGTACCAGGTCACCCAGTTTACTCTTCCTCTCTTAAAGCCCTCTGAAACAGAAGCCTACTCTGGGACTCCTGCCTGGCTACATCTCTGCTTTGGCTGCCAGAGTTCTAGGGAGCTGGGTCTGTTCCATGGGATCCTTCCCTGCCAGCCTCCACCCAGAAGAGTTCCAGCTCCCCTGCCCAGGACATCTGGCCCCAGCTTCCTAGAGCCACTCATTGTCACTGAGCCTCAGCCTATGAAAATTTAAAGCAATGAGAGGCGGGGTGAAGGGGGAGTTGGTTCAGGGGCCATGGGCTCCTCAGAGATGGAGGCAGCAGGGAGGTGCTGAGTTATTCATGAGGTTGCAATGTGAGTGGCTGTCTGGGTCCCTGGGGCCCAGCGCGCAGTTGGCCCAGGTTCCACTGCGGGTTCCTGAGGAGAAGAATGAGCTGGTGGCTTTCCACATTGTTCAGAAGCCAGGGATGTGAGGAGACTCCTGGTCACATGCTCAGGGCCCAGTCTGCTGTGCTCTGCCCTTTGGCCTGAAGACACACCTGGGACCTCTGAGACAGGAACTATGCCTGGGATAGGAAGCGGGCAGGGAGAGGTATCCCTCCAAGACTGCTGTCTGCCCCTGCCCATCCCATCCCCATCCTGTCCACCTCTGGGCTCCAGGCAGGGCTGACAGCCTAGTTTGATGCTTGATCTCAGGAAACTCCCTTGTCCTCAGGTGGACTTGGTACCCACCCCCTATTAGTGGCCAGTGGGATGGAGAGTAACCCTTCTAACTACCTTGGGGATCCCCGATTGGGAAGGACAGGGAAGAGCAGTTGTGGCGCTGGTAGGGGCAGGAGGAAAATACCTAAGGGGTAGTGTAGGGAAGAGGACTTGGTAGGGGCTGGGTGCTGGGAGGCCGGGAGGTGAGGCTGTGAGTGGGAGGCTGGGTCATGCTTGATGCCTTCCACCTGCTGAACTGAGCACCTGCGCCTAGCCTGTCTGAGCTCCTTGCAGGATACCCTAACCCAAGGCTGGGCAGTGGCACCAACCCAGCCCAGCCCTGAGCCCTGCCCCGGCCCCTGGTTCCAGCCTTCATCATTCACTGCATTATTTGGCCCTTTATATATCGGGGCCTCCCCAGCCCCAGAATATGGCCTTGATGTGGCCTTGCACCTGGGCACAGTTCCTAGGGTCCCATAATCTTGCTCAAAGTCCTGTCACCTTCCCTGCCAGTCACTGGCCTCCCTGGCCTCTCTTGGATGCCCCCTCTCTGTACCACATCTGTAGTCTCACTTCGCCAGCTCAAGTTCTTGTTCTTCCACCTGCCTCCATGACTGCCCTGTTCTTGTTCTACCTCTTCTGTAGACTGAGGACCCCTTGAGGGCAGCTTCTGGGAGTGAGCTCCCCAGAATGCTGTGGCTGGGAGGGACTTGAGCTAGGCTTCTGAACATGAGGACAGAGTTCGGGGAGAGGACTTGGACCTGCACGACCACCTCCAGTCATCAAAGAGCAGGGCTGTGGACACAAGGGAGCTGCCATCTCTAACAAGAGGCATTCCTTGTATGTGGAGAAGAGGGCCTGAGAAGGCCCAGGGCCATCTGAGCGGAGCTGCGGCTCACGATGAGTCTGTAGAGAGGGGTGACTGTGGCGTACAGATGGGCCCTGGACTGTGTTCCTGGCCCCCACACAGGGGAAGCCCCTGGAACTGGGCATTCCCCAGCCACAGCACTGCTGCCAGCATCCGCTGTGCCTCCTGCCTGGATGAGATCTGATTATTCCTCTAATTAGGCATCAAATCATAGCCCATGTCTCTGTCACACATAATTGATCCCCCACTGGCTTAGTTTTAGAAGGAGCTGCCAAAATAATTGTCCATGAAACGTGTTCCTGGCTCCTCTCAAAGTCTAAGACTGAGGGCGACTCTCTCACACACTCACCAAGGCAGAAGCTCCTGGAGCTGTGTTTTCCACCTTGCACTATGGGGCTCAGGCCAGGCGTTCCACCTCCCTGAGCCCAAGGCCTCACCTGGTGATGGGGATGGGGGTGGCAGAGGCGCCTGTGCACTGTTTCAGATCCCACAAAACACTCTGGCCTCAAAGGAGAGGCATGTTAAGCCTTCATCAGTTCTGAGATCACAGGACCAGGGCTGCCCCAGCTCTTCATAAAACAGGTGGGGAATCCAAGACATGGAGGTACAGAGGAATTGCCACAGAGTCCTCGTGGAACCTATGGGCCCAGGATTCTGCCCCACTGGGAAGTACTCTGGGCTGTCTCTGCCCCTGAATTTCTTTCTTTTTTTTTTTTTTTTTTTAGACGACGTTTTGCTCTTGTTGCCCAGGCTGGAGTGCAATGGCATGATCTCAGCTCACTGCAACCTCTGCCTTCTGGGTTCAAGTGATTCTCCTGCCTCAGCCTCCTGAGTAGCTGGGATTACAGGCATGCACCACCATGCCCAGCTGATTTTGTATTTTTAGTAGAGACAGTGTTTCACCATGTTGGTTAGTCTGGTCTTGAACTCCTGACCTCGTGATCTGCCTGCCTTGGCCTCCCAAAGTGCTGGGATTACAGGCATGAGCCACCGTGCTGGGCCTCTGCCCTGCATTTCAACACTGTCTTAGTTGAGGTGGGAGGAATTGGCAGCCCCACCTTCAGAGGGAGACATTGTGTTCAAAGATCAGTCAAGGGGCCAGGTATGGTGGGATTACAATCCCAGCACTTTGAGAGGCTGAGGCGGGAGAATTGTTTGAGGTCAGGAGTTCAAGACCAGCCTGGGAAACATGGTGAAACCCTGTCTCTACAAAAACAAAAATCAGCTGAGCACAGTGGTGCCTGCTTGTAGTCCCAGCTACATGGGAGTCTGAGGTGGAAAGATCACTACTTGAGGTGGAGGTTGCAGTGAGCTGAGATCACACCATTGCAATCCAGCCTGGACAATGGCAGTAAAACCCTGTCTCAAGAGAAAAAAAAAAAGGGAAAGAAAATCAGTCCAGGCCTGCCTCTTTCCCTCAGGACCAGGAGTGCGTCACTAAAGGAGATAGTTGTGATGTAGAGAGGGAGGCCTGCCAATTCTTTTCTCAATTTGGGCTATATCATCTCTGAAAAAGAAAATGTATGCGTGTCCTTGAGTGATGTGCTCACAGCAATAGGTAAATGAGTTTAGGAACCTCTCTGTAAGCCATGCTGAGAAGGAGGCCCAAGGCACCAGGGCCCCATCGCCCCACCAACCCCCCACCCCTCCCAAGCATCACAGCTTCCCCACTGAACCTGGATCCTCTTGGAGGCCACAGTTCTCAGGTGTGGTAAGGCCACGGGCACATTGCTGAATTCCATCACAAAGTCTCTTCTCTTTGTCTCCTGCTGAGGAAAGGGCTGGAGAGCATCTGCCCATGCTCCTTCCTTCTCAGAGCACCAAATCCAAGTGTGGCTTGGGGTGAGGAGGAAGAGTGGGCGAAAAGGCCCCAGCTTGGTTTGGTTCTGTTTATTTTCCTTGAGGGGTGAGAACCCTGGAAAAGAGTGTGATTAATTCACCAGTCCCCTGGGGGATGGGTAGCTTTCTTGGACCGTTTGGAAGCTGAAGCCAGGGAAGCAGCTTCCAAGGCAACTGCTACCATGGCAACAAGAGTGCCAGCCTTGGGGAGACCTTGCTCCTTGGCCCCCACCAGACCTGAAGCAGCTGGAGCAGCTGGCATGGGACCAAGGCACCTCTGTTCATGGAGCTGGGTCTGGGAGGGGCAGTTTGCCAGGAGAGAGGAGGGTCCCCCAGAGCCCCGGCAGGTAGATACACAGAGGGACAAAGACTGGATGATCTGTGTCCAGAGGCCCTCAGACAGGAGTCCTCAGGGTCCAACTGAACCACGGCTGGGGCTGAGGCCTGCTCCCTGGGTTTGAGGAGAGGGGCCTGAGGTTTGAGACACTCCAACTGGCTGGGACCAGCTCTATCCTTCTAGGGCCCTGCCCACTGGGGAGCTGGCTTCCACCATTGCAGATCAAATGCCTGGAAGGGGCTCCGTGGTCTCAGAGCCTCCTCAGTGCATCTGCTGGATCTCCCTCTGCCCAGCATAGCCAGGACTTCCAAAGTCACCAGTGAATAGTGGCAGAAGCAGGACTGGAACCCAGGGCCCTGCTCCCAACTTCAGGCTCTTCCCCTTGTGCCACAGCTGCCTCTCTGGGCCAGGGACTGCACTCTGGAGGGGCGGAGCAGCCTGTCCACAGGAGGATCCCACCAAGTGACAGAGGCCTGACTCATCTTAAGAGGCCTGGACCTATCTCCACAGCACACAGTGCTTCTGCAGAGCGCTCCCGGAGCCAAGAACCAGGGAGGGCTCGTCTTGAGCACTGGGACTGTTTCTGCCCTGGTAGACAATAGTAAATACAGGAATCCCTGATTATCTCTAGGGGACATGTTCTAAGACCCCCCGCTGGATGTCTCAAACTATGGACAGTACCAAACTCTACATATACTATAATTTTTCCTATACATACTTGTATGTGATAAAGTTTAATTTATAAATTAGGTATAGTAGGCCGGGCATGGTGGCTCATGCCTGTCATCCTAGCACTTTGGGAGGCCAAGGTGGGCAGATCACCTGAGGTCAGGGGTTAGAGACCAGTCTGACCGATATGAAGAAACCCCATCTCTACTAAAAATACAAAAATTAGCCGGGTGTGGTGGCCCATGCCTGTAATCCCAGCTACTCGGGAGGCTGAGACAGGAGGATTGCTTGAACCCAGGAGGTGGAGGTTGCAGTGAGCCAAGATCATGCCATTGCACTCTAGCCTGGGCAACAAGAGTGAAACTCCATCTCAAAATGAATGAATGAATGAATGAATAAGATATAGTAATAGATTAACAAAATAGAATACAAAATAGAACAATTGTAACAATATGTTGTAATAAAAGTTACATGGATGTGGTCTCTAAAATATCCTATTGTGTTGTACTCACCTATTTTGAGCACAGGTAACTGAAATTATGGAATTAAGGGAAACTGGATCCATGGGGACTACTGGATTAACTAAGACTATAATAGCTAACATTTATGGAGCACTTCCTATGTGGGCCTGGAACTGCTCTCAATACTTTGCAATTATTAATTTGTAACTTTCACAACAGTGCTATGCAGTAAGCACTATCATCCCCATTTATAGTTGAAGAAACTTACTCTGAGATTAAGTAACTGGCCCAAGCCCCAGAGCTAGTAAGCGGCAGAGCTGGGATTTGAATGCAGGCAGCATAGCGCTGGGTCCCAAGCCTTCCTGGAGGGAATCCAGTTCCACCATTCCTAGCTGTATAGCCCTGGGTGAGCTATTTTTCCTTTCTCTGCTTTATTTTCCATGTCAAGTGGGATAAAATAATAGTACCTACCTCATAGGACTGCTGAGAATGAGATGCTGATGCCTGTAAACTTCTTAGAAAGTAACTGTTACTGGCCAGGCACGGTGGCTCACGCCTGTAATCCCAGCACTTTGGGAGGCCGAGGCGGGTGGATCACGAGGTCAACAGATCGAGACCATCCTGGTCAACATGGTGAAACCCCGTCTCTACTAAAAATTACAAAAAATTAGCTGGGCACGGTGGTGCGTGCCTGTAATCCCAGCTACTCAGGAGGCTGAGGCAGGAGAATTGCCTGAACCCAGGGGGCGGAGGTTGCGGTGAGCCGAGATCGTGCCATTGCACTCCAGCCTGGGTGAAAAGAGCGAAACTCTGTCGCAAAAAAAAAAGAAAAAAAAGAAAGAAAGAAAAGAAAGTAACTGTTACTAAAAATAAAAAAAATAAAAGTACTTGCTTAGTAAGTGCATGACAATGCTGGCAAAACCTAGGTCAGCCGTGGTGTTTAAGCAGAGCCATGCAGGATGAGAGGGGCCTTGCCAGGCAGGCCAGGCTGGGGAGGTGGGCTGGGAGAGGGCACAGCTTGAGCCAAGGCACAGGGCCTGAGAGCCTGGGAGAGGTGCAGCAGGACAGGGTGTGGAGAGTGCTTGACCCAGGAAGCCCCCTTGGAGTCACATTCCTGTTGAGTCTTCCACTAGGCTGGGTTAAGTTCAGGCACAGAACTCACATCTTGGTTCTGGGTCCCCAGGGGCTGGGAGTCTGTGGGCCAAAAGGATCAGATTTTGCAGGTCTGTTTTCCTCACCAAGAACACTCCAGGTAGATGAAAAAGTGGGCTGGGTGCGGTGGCTCATGCCTGTAATCCCAGCACTTTGGGAGGCGGAGGTGGGTGGATGACGAGGTCAGGAGTTCCAAGACCAGCCTGGCCAAGATGGTGAAACCTCATCTCTACTAAAAATACAACAATTAGCCAGGCACAGTGACAGGTGCCTGTAATCCCAGCTACTCGGGAGGTTGAGACAGAAGAATCCCTTGAACCCGGGAGGTGGAGGTGGCAGTGAGCCAAGATCATGCCATTGCATTTCAGCCTGGGCAACAGAGCAAGGCTCCATCTCAAAAAAAAAAAAAAAAAAAAAGTGATGTGAGGGTGTCAGGGTTACTGTCAAGGGAAGACTGTCAACAAACAGTATGTATCATCAACAGGGAGGCAATCAAGGTGTAGGACTGCTGGGAGCCTGGCCCGTTACTTGTCCCAAGTGAAGAGCCCCTAATTCCATCTCCCCTCTCTGCCCTCCTGAGGGAAAGCAGCTGTCATCAGCACCCAGCCCACTGCCCAGACACTCAGACCTTCCTCTTGCCACCTCCTTGGGAACTTATAAAGGTCCTTTCCACCCCAGTCCTCTCCTGGCTGGCTCTGAGGATCACCTGGGACAATGGACACCAAAATCCTTTGCATGATGTACATGAGGGCTGTGGATGGGATGCACCATTTTTCTTTGTTGTCAACTCTGGCAGGATGAGCACAGTCCTGGGCACATCATACGCCCTTGATAAAGGCTTCGTAATGCTTTAGACAGAGGGGAAGTTTGTTCCCAGCTTGTGGGCCGCTGGGTGCAGGGCACATCTATTAAAGTGCATTCTGAAGTCTCCTGTGTCATGGTCGCTGACACCACCTCTACCACTTGATGGGGAGCTCCTAAAAAGCAGAGGCTGTTTCTTACTCATTTCTGGGTCCTGGCACAGAAGAAGCAATTGATAAATGTTTGACGAATTTCATTTCCTCACCTAGACAAAAAAAAGCAATGTCTCCTTCACTTTGTTTTTTGGGTCAAATATGGTTTTTATTTAGGGGTCTTCATAAGAGATACCTTCTCCTCACCTGGCTGGACTTAGCCCCAGTTTAGAAGGCCAGGCTCCTTCTCAGGTCTGCAGGTAAAAAAAGGACCACCAAATAAGCCACAGCTAGAATTGAAGTTTTATTAAAACAAGCACAATGTATAAAAGCACCGTGGTGGTGTATAAACGCCTGACACATGCAAATCTATTTTCTCTATGTAACTCAATAGCTCAGCTTATCTGAATGGCTGTACCTTCACATGCTCTGGCAGCAGGCACTGCATCGCTCAAACCAGGGCAGTGAGGCTGCCCCCTCCCCATGTGGCTTCACCTCAGGCACAGAGCTCCACCTAACTGCCCAGATCTGTGCCACCCACACAAGGACCTGGGAACACAGCAGCAGACACCGACTGTCTCTAAGTTTGTCATAGGAACAGCTTTAAAATCAGTTAAAACCATAGAGAACGGCTGATTAAAACCCAAATGCAAGGACATTCCAGAAAGAAGAGCAAGCAGTTACTCTCTGGGAAGTCCATGGGCTTGGAGTGGGAGTTTAAAGTCCCATCTTTGCTGGAACAGCCTGGTTAAAAAAAACCAACTTTTTTTTAAAAAAAGAAATAATACTGACTTTAGCAGCAATCACAAACAAAGGGGATGATAAATGAGGGACACATGTTGGTCACGGCAAAGAAAGATTATGTGCTTCTCTGTGCTGCAGACTGGAAGACTGATCTGATTTCCTGAATGAGAAAGGCTCCTGGACCTTCCCTGAATTGAAGGGATGGCTTTGCTCAGCCAAGGGAGAAGACGGGCAAAGAGGACATCCAGAGGACAGAGGAAGGTGGAAGGACCTCCAGAGGAGGGTGACAGGGCAGAGAGGGAAGAGGCACGTGTCGGCAGCCTCTGTCAACTGATGCTTCTCGTTTCTCCCTGCAGGCTGCAGCCCCAGCCATCGCTACAGTGGTGAGCGCAGGCCGGATCCCAGATCTGCAGGCGGGTGAGCAGGCGGAGCCCAGCACAGAGAGGTTCCTGCTGCAGGCGATTATGCAAAGTGACAAGTGATTGCTTTCCTTTTCAAAGACAACCCC